GTAGACATCAGGGACTGTTCTGGCCAGTGAATTTGCGTGTACAAATGGCTGCAGACCATTCTGCTCCCCTTCTCCAGGACAGTACTGCAGCTGCTCTTTTGTTTTGCCCTGAAAAGAACAGCCCAAAGAACTTCTTCAGAAAAGAAGATGAGGGTAGCAACCCCTGTCCCTTCTGAATATTGTGAAATCATCCTGAAAAACCACCCTGTAGATCCAGTGTCTCTGGAGAGTTACCTGAGCAACAGGTTTTGTCCCAACAGATTCAGATTTATAGGAAAACCTTTGTGAAATGCCAAGCAATTTCTTCCTAAGATCAAACGCTTTGAGCAAGTGAATCTATTTTTGGTGATCGCTGGCAATGCTACATATAGGTGTTTCCTTTGAATTGCAGCTGCAGATAAATAAGTTTTAATTTCCTATGCAGAGCCCACATTCAGATAACCTCCTAGCTGTCTGCTCAGTGAAACTCCCGCACAGAAAAAGGAGAGGCTTTTTACGGTACCTTGAGAGCAGTTTGTTGCACAGATGATGCATCCTCCAAGGGAGGCAGCTGTAATTGTGAAGTAGATGAACTCTAGAGCTGAACTCTTTGCTGTGTTGCAACAGTCATATGGGAATGTTGCCGGTAGCTGAGGAGCTGTGCTGCTACAGGGAAGCAGAGCCAGACCCAGTTAAAGGCCTCTGATCACAAATGCCACCGTTAAACCCAACGGCAGTTCAGAAGCTGGGAACTGCTAGATAAAAGCTAACTGCATGTGCTTTCCCTTCACTAAAATAGCCTATATTCCATTTACCAAACAAAGCTCATGTGGAAAATGCAAAAGCAGAGCAAAACCCATGTTATTTGGGCAATACACATACGTAGTATGCAAAAATGATACATGAACTACATTATTAAGGAATGTCTATATAGCTTTTATGAGAACAGACAAACTTCGGTAATCAGCTTCAGTAAAATGTTGTTGTAGCGTGAGAAAACTCAAACGAAAATATTAGCACAGAGACATTTTTGCCAACCTGAAACAGAAGCATTGCATCCCATTTTGAAGTGAAAACTAAAAATAGTCTTAAGATGTTTGAGGATTTCTTTTCTGGAGGGGCAAGATGGGTATCAGGGGTGTCTGAAGCTTGTGTTGCCAGCAATTTGGACTGCAGGAGGGAAAGGCAGGTTTCTGGGAGCTGCAGTCACGGACTGGAGCATTCACCCTGAAAGCTTACAGGCTGGGAACAAGGAGTACATGCAGCTGGATACAGACCAAACTTCAGAGGCAGCAGCAGCACAGTATCTTCTGGGTGTCAATACACCAAAATCTGCTTGCATCAGCAGATGAGACTCATTAGCATGGTGCATCGTTACCGCTCCAACCTCATACAAGTCTGACCGATACCACTAGAGTCAAGGAAGACTTACTTGGAAATGGTCCTCAACAAGAGTATTCGTATCACCAACAAAAGCCTCAGTCTCTGGCCCAGGAGACTTACAGCTGTGGGAGGTGGTCTAGATCCTCTGCAGAAGTTGTGGCTTCAGTCCTCTCAAGAAAAGATGTGCCTGCTTGATCACAGCATCTTTCACGAAAGAAAACTGAAAGCCCAAGCAAGTACATAGACTGCACTAACCTTCCACCTGTACAGCTGCCCCTGGGGAGGGGGAGAGCAGCAGAAAACATAAATTACCCCACTGGAGCTCATTCTGTACCTGCCACGTGCTTAAAATGGGGCTTCGTCTGGCTGGCTCTTTTCATAAGCAATGAGTTTGCGGACATAGCATTTTTTGCCATATTTCCCCTGCTTTGGAGTACATCACATGCACTGTCTCTATGGCTGAATAAAAGGTCATGACTGACCAGCTGGTGACACAGAATGCATTTTTACACTAATAGCAGGGTATTCTAGCTTTTGTTTCACATTACAATGACTGCATATTTACATAAACCCTACATCTGTTTAGTTAAATTAAGCCAGAGGGTGATGATCTTTGTCTTTACAAAAGAGCTGATTTAATTTTATTGAACATAGGTTTCCATTTAAAAGATCAAAGTCAGTGCAGCCCCCTGCAGCAATAATTCAGTCTTATGTGTTTCTTCAAATATTCAAATTAAGAAAATAGGGGAACTGGGACTGAAAAAGCTAATGAATTTTAACAGACAACTAGCAATTATTCATTCCTTAGAAGAAAAAAAAAGAGAAGAAAGGAAAATAAAAATAAAAATAAAAATAAAAATGAAAACTCTTTGGAGCCTTTGTTTATCCTGAGCTTGAAGAGAGACATTTTTCCTTCCATCAAAGTCCCATGGAATGTCCTGACTCTCCTGCCTCTGAAACTGTCAGGAATTGATAGTGGAGGCAGCATGCACATTTTTAGGCAAATTTCTAGAAGCTAGTAATGCTATGGGGAGATTACACAAAATGTGGAACAGTGAAGAAAACTTGGTGGAGAACCGGCCTCTCTAGGTGTCATGTGTTATTTCCAGGCACTCAGCACAGTGAACTCCTACTTGATAAACCATCAGTTTGTGTACGAAGTTGTTTGTTATCGCTACAGAAAATAATGGTAAAAATCATGACTATGGAACTGTATCTGTAATGGAGATAGATATTTCATGTCTTCTGAAAGAGCCCGCATGTCATCTTCTAGCCTCTGACTTTGGGGAATTAGTCTTTGTCTTGCAAACTTTTACTTTTTTTTTTTGGGGGGGCCGGGGGGGGGGAAATGGCTTTTTTTTTTTTTTTTTTGGGGGGTGGGGGGGCGGAAATGGCTGAATACCAGCCTTACGTTTCACTGCTGAAGTTTGGTATTTGCTTACAAGTGGTTTCCTCGCCTCTCAGGCTGACAGCAGCACTTACTACTCCCAACACTGGATGAGCACCATGGCTACACCCCATGCTACGGCAGGATGGGGCCAAGCACACACCAAAATCCACTTTTCCCTGCTCCCATCCTGTGGTTACCCCTTGCAGGAAACCTGGCAACATGGACCAAAAGGAGCTGTAGCATGTTCCAGGTGAGCCCTCAATCTGGACACTGAGGAAACCGGACCAAAAGTCTGTTTTGGCTCCAAGGAAACCTTTCCAAGAGATACATGTTGCTTCTACATTACATGTGTAATACATCCACATTAGCATTTCAGCTTGGATCAGGAACGCACTTCTGAAGCGTTCCTCCTGGCCACCCCTCCTCACCATGCTTTGCTTCATGTCGTGGAACAGTCCTGGAGTCTGTGAACTGGACTCCATCCAAAGCTAAACCAAAAGATCTGGTATAGAAGCACACTTACTGTGTTACAGAGAGACCAGCCCACGTGACCAGATTAGAGCTGGTCTGAAATAAATCTCTGAAATACATGGAGGGCACACACACTGGGTCCTCTGCACCAGCTCCTCCACGCTACAGATCTGCCCTACTTGTTCCAGGACACCTGCTAATACAGACACAGCCCAAAGAGGCTTCACTGCCGCTTTCTAACCCTCTCACTGCTTAAAGGGGTGAATAGTGCCATTTTAGGCACCATATGGTAACCCTGCAGCTCTCCAGCTGCCACTCTACAGATCAACAGCTCAACCAAACGTCTCGTGTCATATCTGGCAGCCCCACACAGACATCTCAGATACCTTAGGGAGACTAACTGGCTGCGGATGTCTATGTTTAGGCAACTGAATACCATTTTATTTAAGTAACTATTCCCCTCTAGACCAAAAAAAATGGAAGCAAATGAGATTAAAAATGAGAAAAAAAGGTGCTTGAAATATTATGGTGAGTTCTATAAAATAAAATAAAATATCTTGTAAAATTCTCTCATATAAAACTCTTGGAGAATTTTTAAAAATAACTAAAAAGTACAAAAAGTTTAATTTGGGCAAATGGAAGTATTGTTTTGTACTTCAAGAAACATCCGAACTTTACAAATAGTGTTTATTGTTCAGTAAGGATTGGATTCACTGACTTTAACAGAACTATTGAGAAGCTTGATATTAAGTTTCTGTGTGTGTACTTTACTGGTCTAACACCCCAGATGCTCGGAGGACTGTAGTATCAGGATCTTTGCAGCATCACGTCCTAAAGCTAGGTCTGTACTAGTAAATCAGTAAATTATCAAATTGCTAAATTTACTGGGGTAGTAATAAAAGAAATATGCTTTGGCATGTCCTCTGCCCTGACAATGACTGACTGACAGAGAGCAGCCTTCATCTGTGCTAGCAAACACCTGGCCTCCAAAATGGGTTGGCCGCAGGTAAACAGGGATGCTCCAGGGGCTGACCATGCTTGGGACTGCGTGGCAGAGTCTGGAAGCCACAGGCCAGTGCTGTGTTACAGGCTAACCTCCCAGTCTTACACAACGACCCCACTCCAAAGCTGCAGAAAACCAGTTTTAGCTACCAAGACATAGCCTAAGTTTCTGAATTTGCATGGAATTATTTGGAGCTCCAGGTTTTTAAGCACTGAAACCAATATCCTGACCTCTTGTGGCCATAAAACTTCCTAGCAAAACAGTTTGTAACACATGAAGCAGGTGATGCTCTTGCTGGGCACGCAATGGCTGGTGTTCATGTATTCCTGCTGCTCCTCCCCCAGACCTGCCTGCATTTCAGCAGCCACTGGCAAACCTCTACATTTGTTATACACTGAAAGCACTGGTAAATTAAAGTAATAGTGCAGTCTTTTTAGACACTGCGGATAAAAATGTGACAAAAATGCCACAGAAATGGGAAGTATGGGTGTGATGATGCACATTAACATCCTGCATGTGGCACACAACCTCCTGCAGACTTTTAACTGTAACAAAGACCTGAGAAAAGGACATGTTGGTTTGCTGTCTACCTTGCTTTGCTCTTCTGTTAGTCTGCCTAAGTAGCTTTGGGCTAAAGAAAAATATGGACTATGAATATATACTGCATGTGTGTAATTAATAGTGTCTGATGCCACTCGTTGCATATATATTACCAGCACTCTTTTAAGTACAAACCTACACTTCTAAGAACTTGGCATCAAGTTGTACTTGTACTGAGTACATTTTTATTTACAGGACAGATTCACTGATAATTGCACTTGCTTAACATAGGAAAGTAAGTAAAAATAGTGTTTTAAATCAAATTTACATTTTAGTTATGCTCTTTCTGGATCTGCAGTTCTTTTCTGACCCCGCAAAGGCTTATCCATATGTTTAGTTTTACACTTATGAGTAACAATAGTGAAACTAACGTACATAAAAATAAACCTTTGCAGAGCTGAAGTCTTGATGGTAGCCCGCTTTCACATTCAACATGTGCAAAAACCCATACAAGAAAGAAAAGGTGACGTGAAAAGGTACAATCACTCCCACTGCTCAGATTCTCTGTGGTTTTTCATTTCATTCTCTCAAAAGAACACAAATTCACGTTAACAAAGCTATTAATAGGATATAGAAAATGTTTTGTAGAAAAATATCTTAGCAATCATTTATCAAATGTTTTTAATTTCAGGTTCTTCTCAGGTCTCTGTTTCCAATATGTCAGCAGTCTCCTGTTTCCCTCTGAAATGAATTGATATTTCAGTTGCATATGTTGACAGGCTTGGACTTTATTACTTGGAAGCCTAGATGCTTATTGGCCCTCATTTACGACACATTTTTTACAGGATGCCCATCACAGCAGCAGCTGCTCATTCTCTATTCCAGTAAACAACACTGGGCCACTGGATTCTCTGTTCCTCAATGCTATAATCATTTTATTGTTTTACTGATGGATGACATTTCAGCCTCTCCTTGGGCACCTAATGCTCCTGCTGCAGTCCAGTGAGTTCTGGTGCACAACGGATGCGGGAACAGGTTCTCCTGGTGATGAAGATGCAACACGATAGCATCTTGAAATGTCACAGTGTCAGAGAGCACTCTGAAGGACTTTGTACATGACTGTAGTATGTTTGTGGCTTCGCTAAGAATGCTGAACAATGTGGGAGTGGTATTTTGCCTTATACAGAAAAGTACCAGCGGGCAATAGTGAAACATAACCTGCCCAGATTACTGTCGACAGGAGAAAGAGAAGATTCTTCTGTGGGACAAAACACATCACAGTGCATTTTTAGGTAGCAAAAATAGAGGGAAAATAATAAAATATCTTTTAAGTGCTATTACACAGAAGTTGCTTTCACAAAGCACAGTGTTTTTTAATTAGTTGTAGCACTGTCTTGAGAACCTCTTCCTTGGAGGGGCTGGCATCGACCTCTTGGCACGCAGGATTCACCATCCTTCTGTATGACTCTTCAACTCTATTTAAAAACCAAACAAGAGAAACGAAACTACAAATTGCAGGGATATGAAATGTCATCAGTCATGGAAGAAAGCGCTTGCACTGCAGAATGAAATCTACTGCAAAGAGCAATAAACCATTAGTAACCATTACAATGCGAACCTCAAAGCACATAGTTTCCTTGACACTGATTCCCAGAGCTCTATCCATATTCACATGGCAAGGCATTAAAGTATTTTTTTCTTTACAGCTTAGCACTGGATACTGTCTGGTACAGCAGTACAGTGGACAGCCTGCTTCTAACACCTGAGTTAATCTATTCAGAGCCCGCTAAGGTGTCTCTGAACTATATGGCATGGCGTTGTGTAGGTGTGCTCACTGACTGATCTCAGCTTTGAGTCACTGGAGAACTGGATTACAGAGTTGATACGTTGTTTAACCCTTTCCTCTGATCAGCTTTGCTAACCAGATGCATAACGGAATGAAATACAGGATGAAAACCTCCTCGCTTAGACTATAAGCCTTCTCATAATGTAGAACTCTCCCACATTTAGTCTATGAGGATGTGAATGAGAATGTGAATGTAATTTTCTATGTTCCCACAAGAATTAATAACGCCAAACATTCAGGCCACAAGTTGTAAGACGAATCAAGCAAGATTCTGAATGCTCTCACATCCAGGTTGACATAATTAACAGGTAGAAATAACCAAAGGCTTTCTGACGAGAATAAGTATTAAAACATGAAAGATTCTTAAATGGCAGCATGTTCCCTTGGCTCACACATCCTTCTGCAGGTCCCCCTATATGAACCGTGTGTCCGCACACAGCTTCTGTCAGAACTAAGCAATGGATATTTTAAAGGTATATATCATCACCAGAAATGTTAAAACCCTAGAGGTAGATTTCAGCTTTGTGATTTGTAGATAGACACCTACATTCAGGTGTCTATACGGAGGTATCTACACGAGCACTAGGTATTTAAGTTTCCACTGTAGACAATGATGATCTAAACAATACATTTGACAGAGCCTAGACAGCAATTCAGCACACCCTGAAGTAAGATACCTAGGGTGCAATTCAGTTGCCTAAGCAAATGTATCTAGTACTGTATCTAGTAGGTAAACATTGGAAGAGGCTGCCCAGGGAAGTGGTTGAGTCACCATCCCTGGAAGTATTTAAAAGGCATGGAGATGAGGCGCTTAGGGACATGGTTTAGTGGGCCTGGTGGTGTTGGGTTGACAGTTGGACTCAATTATCTTAGAGGCCTTTTCCAACCTTAATGATTCTATGATTCTGTGCTTGAGATGCTCTGGATTCTCTCATTTAGCTGCCAGTTGCTGGTCCAGAAAGGGCCTGCAGGTTCTGCATCACATCTGCCAGCCTGATGCAGATGTCTCAGATCATGTCAAATGGCTCTAGGCACTTATGCTTAGATCACTGGGCTCCAAGCAGGTGGTGAGCTGAATCACTTTGAAGGCTCCATTGAATTTATTGACTGTATTGGGACCTGAGACACTTAGCACAACTAAAGATATCTACAAGAGGAGATATAAATTTTATTCTCTTAATCCGGAGCTCAATTCCAGACTTTGGTGGGGAAGCTATGCATTTCAACTTCTTGCTTCTCAGTTCTGGAACTTTTAGGTCTCTCTCCTTCATGACCACAATAAGAAAGGTGCTACAATAAAAGCAGCAAGTAGCAAAATACAAGTATTTTAACTCAAAGCTCCTTTGCAAGAGAATGAAGTTCTTCACCTGCAGCTTTTAAACACTTTCAATCAGAAGTGACAGAATTTACCCTCCTTGTCAGCCATGAACCCTTGCAACATTTTGCTACTGACCCTACAGGAGCCAAGATTGCCTCCATCCTCTTATTCCTCATTAAAGTGTACCTTTGGCGAAACAAACTGTTAGCTTCCAGCTCAGCTTCCTCCTTTGTTTTCTCCAGCCCCCGACGCTGAAGTCTCCGGACTCGCTCCTCAGGGTCAACAGTCAGGAGAAGAACAAGATCGGGTTTAAGGAGATCCTCAGGCCACTGGTACACCTCATCATGAACTGGTGGAAGATCCTGGACTTTGCCATTTATTTCAGTGGCAATTGTGTAGGCAGCTGTGCTGTGCCAGTATCTGTCAGGAAAATACAAAATGGAGAGAGAAATTTTAAAGAGGACACTAATTCTTCAGTAATATAGGAGACAGGTGTCAATATAATGACAAGTGCAATAATGACTAGGAAGGTGACAATGTGATTTTGAAGGAACTGTAAAGAACAATTCTGCGCCATCCATTTTTCCTTAACGGGGCGATAATACTCAATGCAGTATTCAGAACTGCTGTGAATTATTAATTAAAACATATGGCAGAAGCTACACATTAGGCAAAGAGTGTTCCAGATACTCAAAAGAAAGTCTTCTCATATAATGAGAGAGGTCAAAAGAAGAGTTGCATTATATGTCCAAACCCAATACGCAGAGTCTCTTTTTTGTGGTTCCCATCCTACTTCATGCAACCCATTTGGTATAGAACATGCAGTCTTCAACCACATGTGGATGAAGACGGACTTTATTAATGGTTACAACTTTCACTTGCATTTAACGTTCCCACCACTATAAGGCACTGTATTTTATATATTTCAGTGTTTTTGAGGCTGGTTAAAAAAAGCAGTCACACATATGCAAACAACTTCTGTGTATGTGTGTTGTGGGGGGAGGTTACAGTACATCTACTGAAACAAGCCAGGGGGTTCAAAGTGCATCTAGACTTTCTTTATTAACAGCAATACTGAAAGCTACCTACACAGTTAGTAAAACAAGAAATGACATAAACAAAACCAAAAAAGTGGGAAGCATATTTCTGGCTTTACATCCTCAAAGAGTAAGTCTACCTAAAACTCGGTCATTCTAATCCACCCGTATCTCAGACGCTTCTTGGAGATAGCCATGATCAGCAGCCCTCACTCTCCTCAGGTTTGTCACAGAGCCCTGCTTTGGTTCAGGCTGCACAGTCCATGCCTCCACTATTCCTAACTCAAGACGTAACGCTTTTCATGTGTGCTAAAGCCAGTTATGAATATTTCACTGATAGAAGTCCCCCACCTTACTGTTATCCTAAGTATTACGCTTTAGAAGATTGAATATTTATCTGACTACCTGCAAAGTAGCACTTGCAAAAAGAAAAAAAAAAGAAAAAAGACAAAACCCAGAGACTATCATTGACAACTTCTGCTTGTAACACTGAACAACTGTATGATGGCACTGATATAGGAGGACTTCTTAAATATACAAACCTGTCTATGATCACAGGTGCCTGAGTGGATGCTTTCGCTATTTCTGAAGCAAGAATGTAGTTGCCCGCAGCATAAAATGCTCGTTTAATGGGTGCTGGCTCATCATCAAATATTGTCCTCCACTGGCTGATGCAAGTGGGTGGAGACCTTAGCAGAACGCCATTCAGGGTGTCCTTAACAGACTGGGTTACGGTGGTTTTGCCTGCATTTCATTTACAGAAGGAAGCATTTGTTATATTATGTATGAGATACAACTGAGTTTTACAAACTGAGAAATGCTCCTATCTGTTCACCTGGAGCACGTGTTCTGACACCTGACCATGTAACCTGAGTATCTTGTGATAAGGTTTTCAGTGGACAATGATTATGAGTCTGGTTCCAGGAATTATTATTCCACTTCCTACTCTCAGGGCCTTCCTCCCCTCCCTCTTGCCAGCCTTCTGTCTTCACTCCTTTAAATGCATTAAATGCATGGCAATTTCTCTATATGTCCATTTACAATACTTTTCTAGGTCACAATTCATGTGGATGTTGCAACGCTGTCACCCAACACTTTCTTCTTAGAGGGCATTTTCAGTTCTCTTTAACTGAAAATACAGAAAACAAAGTTACTCAGAGGCAACTAATATTTCCCTGAGAGACAAACTGCTGACAGTTTCCCCGACTACCACTATTTTAATTCATCTATTTGAAAACCCTCCGGTAAAAGTACGTTTCATCATCTGGACAAGAAATTTAATTTCCAATACTCCACTCTTTGTATTCTGTCATTTACATAGATAAGGAATTCATCCACTGAAAATGAAAATTAGCATAGACTGTTTGATCCTTTACAAGTAAGAGAAGACAGACTGGGATTTATAATTACTAATTCTTTCAAATCTGTCACAGGTTTCCAGGATTTTTTTGGATTTTTAAGCCTTACGCCTGGCCGAAAGCCATAGCGGCTGCTCTTTCCAACAACTTCTCATCTGCGGTTCTTCAACCGCACATGGCTCTTACCCGTGGCATCCAGCCCCTCAAAAACTACGACGGGAAAACCTCCTTTCTTCTGGTGCTCGGGACACTTCTCCAGCAGGTCGAGTACTGCTCCAGCCTCCGGGATCCACGCCGCGCACTGCAAGGAGAGATGCGACCCTTCACACCCGCCCGCCGCACAGGCTGCCTTCGCAGCACCCTGTGAAGCTGGAAGACCCAACCCGCGTCCCCCGCAGCCCCGGCGGGCTCTCACCTCCCGCAGGCGGTCGCGGACGGCGGAGGCGGCGGACGGCAGGGCGCGGCGGAGGGGCTGGGGGCC